CCCCCCCCCCCCCCACACACACACAAGGGAATGGCAGAAGACAGCATTTGTCTCCTTGGCTCTCGTCCCAGGCAACCACAGGTACTCCATAGCGCAGTCAGTACCTTCACGCTTCCTGAACATCTGCTGTGCCTGTGAGTGTTAAATAGGACCCTGAAGACTTCCTATGTGCTCAGTCAGGGAAGCCCATGCTTTAAGAGAGACCCAAACAATACACCCGAGGCAAAGGGCTCTGCGGTGACAATTGCATGAAGATGCCAGTCACAATGACTAGAGTAAAGGATGCTGAGAGGGCGTGAGACACGACGCTGGAAATGTTCAGCGCAGGAAGTTGGTGGAGACTCTGCAGGCCTGTGAATTCCAGTGCCCACTCCCAGCTCCAATCACAGCCCTCAATCCAAGATCCTCTGTTTCAAGCCTTTGGTGGTTAGAGTGGGCTGTATTAAGAGCGCTGACAGCTCACAAGTCATTCACCTCTTATCTCTTAGGCTGTCTGCAAGAAATACACTGTTTTAGAAAAACAAGGTCAGTTATTTTCAAAACCAAAACCAAAAAAAAAATTGTAACCAAGTACAGAAAGCTGCGCAGAAAGGAATTCGACTACTCGAATTCATCATGTTATTGTCTTTGCCCTATGGCAGGGTTTCCTGTAGTCTAGGCTGGACTCAGATTTGTCATGAAGCAATGCTCGCATTGTATTATTGGTCCACCTGTCTCCACCCCTTGAGTGCCAGGATTATAGGCATGCTCCACTGTGCCTGGCTTTGTTCATTTGTTTCCATCTTTAAGCTGGTAGATATTTCGCACCCTTCTCTATTAGTAGCTGAAATTGCTCATCCAAGGAGCGCTAGGTTGGTTTCATCCAGAAATGGACCACAAATAAAGTAATATAAAATAAATAAAAAATACCATTTTTCAGAATTTTTATTGTGAAAATATGTTACATACTTGTTACTTCTTTACTTTGGTATTTCACCACGTTGCCTATAGGTTCTTCATCTCCACCGACCACTGTTTTCTCCTTCACATAGAAGACAAATCTCTTACGTCAGGGACTAGCAATTTATATCCTGCTGTCTGTCCGCTTCCCTTCCTTCCTGCTGGATTGAACTACAGCTTCGCATGCTATAAGATAGGCAAGCACTCAAAGGGCGAGTTATACCTTTAATCCTATTGATGCTTTTGTATGGCTTTCAAGATAAGAATGCTTTTACATTGTAAGTGGAATAAGAAGAATAATGCTTTCGTTGCTTGAAAATCATATAAAATTCTAATTTATGTCCATATATAAAGTCTTAATAGGAGACAGTCGCACACATTCATTTACCTATTGTCATTGACTGGTTTTCTTCAGAAAGGAAGAGTTAACTTGTGGTAAAGGGTTGAGGATGTGACTCCATTGGATGAGTGCCTGCTTATCATGTATGAAGCCCTGGGGTTTGATCCGCAGAACCACCTGCAACTGGACAGACATGGCACATGTATGTAATTCTAGCATTCTGGAAGCAGAGGCAGGAGGATCAGAGATTCAAATTCATCCACAATCATACCTGAATTCCAGGTCAGCATGAGCTGTATGAGACCCTACCTCAAAAATTAATTAATTAATATCAAAATGCCACAAAGACTCCTGGCCCTTCAAATCTTAAAGTAGTCACATATGGCCATGTGCAGA